TTCTGAGCTCTGTGTTTGTATATTTTAGACAGGATGGACAAGTCTCAAACTCTGGGTCTGTGTATAGGCTAGCCTGGATTTCAGAGCCCTCTGAAACGGAAATATATCAAAAGTGTATCTGTGTCCCACCAGCACAATTAAACTCTCCAGAATGTGTTGAAGTGGTGATTATTGAGCTTCTCAGACGTGTTGAAAGATCTCAAAATTGCCCCTTTACACCAGAGGTTTTCATTTAATTAATACTATCAAATAGGCTGCAGTGTCCTATTTCAGAGTAATCGGATTTCAATTATACTGCAGTCAAGGCCCACAAGACCACATAACATCCCTGTTTCTGCAGATTACACTAAGTTATGATGATATTTTGAATATTTTAATTTGTCTTTTTTGTGTGGTTTTATGTCGGAGATGCAAGTTAGATATGTTGTTCCAAGAAGCTGCCTTTTTGCATTATTTATTCAGATAATAGGAAGTTCTGAAATATTCTAAAAGGCTTCTATAATCTACATTTCAGCAATTAACACTCACATTTAATGCTAGTCTGTTCTGCCATGCAAATCTCCCAGCTTGGCTTTCTTTCTGCCAGGATACTTTTTTCCAGCAAAAAGGAGATGTTCATGCCTCCATGTTCCATGACAACAAGACACAGGAACTGGGGAGATTACCTGTTTATAATGAATTCAAAATATTAACCACTAATGTGTTGTAGAAGATATTAATTATGTTGATGGACTTTCTCAGCATGATTTGCTTTGGTGTAAGACAAAGAGAACAAAAATCAATGGATGATTAATGTGATTTTAAGAGTTAAAAAAATTAATTAATTATTTCTCTGGACCTGATATGTTCAATTGGTGGCACGTACAAACATCAGTGTCTACCACTTTTCTCTGACAGGACTCTGAAACTAAGTACTGAACCATCTGAAATCCCTGAAAGGTATTCTGTGGGCTTCCAAAACCTTTGAAGCAGGTTCTTATCCAGATGTTTGATTTACTTTTCTTCTCTAGCCAGGGTTTCAGAGTTTAACATTGAACATGTTTTATGTAATAAGAGCAGCAGGGCTATTAATATACTAAATACAATGTACAAAAGGTAGCACTAGAGTTAATCTTTCGTTGCTGTGGATAAAAAACAAGACTCATATTTGGGGAACTCATCACTAGATTATGATATCATAGTAATGTCATAGGAGAAAGAATAAAAGATTAAATTAATTTTATGTTCTTCACTGATCTCAAGATTTGCGAAGTGATTTGAATGGCTTAGTTTGTAACAACTCTTAGAAACAAAGAAGACAAAGATTAATTAGAAAACATTAAAAGCTCTTGGCAAATAAGAATTTTAGTAACACAGATGCTGCATACAAATAATCCTCATAGAATATAATTCTATTGTTTCATAATTCAGGCATAAGTGGGGAATTCAGTTCCATTGTAATGCTCTAGTGTGAATGTGACAGCTTCAATGACCTTCATCCAAGAGGGTGTGAATATTCAGAAAGTGATTCTTATGTAAGTTTTTTATTACTAGATCTGCCTGATAGACTCCTTTATTTCATAAATACTGTATCTTTTTTTTTCAAATAAATTTCTTCTTATCTCACTCATTTTGCTGACAATTGTTGATTATAGAATACAGTGATAAGAGCATAGAGAAAATGTAACAATGACTATACATAATATAAGGTGGTAAACAGTCCAGTCAAAAACCTAAAAATGAAAGATAAAAAGAAGGAAGGACATTCTTTTAGATGTCATATAGAAGAAAAACAGGTCTCAGTAACAAAGAATCTAGGTTGGCCTCATCCATTTGAAGATCATATTTCACCCTCTTTAGCTCACATACAAGGAGATTTTCTGTTTGGCTATGAATCTTCTGGCTTGAGAAAGACACAAGAGAAATAAATAACTACAGAAGCATTTGGCAGAGTTTGTTGTTGCTGCAGGAGTACAGCACAGCTGTGCAGAGCAGAGGGCACTGACAGATATGAGATTGACTCTGCTCACCCAGGTAGAATTCTTGCTTGAGAAATCTCTCTGCCCCTCACCCCTCTAACTCCATCAGTGGAAATCAGACCTCAAGCTGCTGCATGAAGATGAAAATATCAGATTTTCATAATGCCATAATGCCAGTTGAAACTCACCAGCAGAAGGGAAAGCACAAACAATTGGAATGGCAAAGCTATGACCAAATCCATCCTGCCAGGACCAGGTGGATAATCTCTGAATAATTTCTTCACAAAATGTCAGTGGGTGTCGGATTCAGAAATTTTAGTTTTCTGTGGTCCATAACCTGTTTTAGAGTAGGCTCTGTATATTTTTTCAAACATTGTTCTGATAACATGCTCATTCATGAGCATTTTTTGGTGACTTCAGGTACTGGAGTTTGCCATCATCTTAAGAAATATGCCTAACATAGTTTCTGTTACATTAAGCAATTAGAAAATATTAGTCTGGTTTTCAATAAGTAACCATAATTATGCATTATTATTAACCAGCATAATTATCTACTAATAAGAAATGTCTACCTACTAATCTACAAAATAACCTACTAATCTACCTGCTTGCCTACAAAGACCTGCCAAGAGGTACTAGTAAATATTAATCACACTTCTAAGGCACTAGAGGACAAACACCTTAGGCTATGTTCTTCACAGGACTTGTTACTGGGACTACTGCGACACTAAAGTAAATGTGAAAACATATTTCAGCTAAATTGTGGCTGCAGACTGGTCTTCCACATTCCATCCTGAATTTGGAACCTTCTTTACTTGGAAGGAGCAGCAGACTCGGTCCAGTCCTCCTCCTGTCTGCCCTGCGACAGCATCAACACGAGTGCAAGGGCTGTGCTCTTTTGACCCATTTTGTCTGACCCAGAGATAATTTCATGACCTCTGCTATGTTGTAAGAGAGCAGCAGCCATGTGGGTTACACCAGGTTTCACATGCCTGCAGTCCCATCTCCCTGGGAGCTGCCTGCTTCTCTTCCCCACTCTTCTCCCCGGTATCGCCCCAGCACCATCAACATCAATATTGTGCCCTGGTACTTTCCTTTATTACCACACCCTGGTATTGGATTCACCTTTGAATCCACTGCACTCTTCAGCCCAGCATCTTCAGCATCATTCTGGTCTCCAAAGCCCTCAGCAATTATTGCTTCAGGCAAGAGGGCCTGGTGACATCTGTATCCTCCCTGCCCATCTTACTGCATCTCTCCCAACCAATGTAATTTTAGTTAAATTCAAGGTCATCTCCACACAGATCCCATCCTCAGGATTTTGCAGACACTGCAGGAGTGTGCAAGGCTAAATATTTACCATCACAAGTTCCCAATGACTATCCCACAACCACTCCCTTAACCCAGTATTGTTCCAGCTCGCAGACGATCCCATGACACCACAGTTGTCTCCTCTCACCTCCCACTCTGAAGGGCTGCACAAAAAAAGGCAAGCATTACCTCATGCTAATAGGGAAAGTGTGATTAATATTTTCTCTATCTTTAATTTTGTCAGCTCACTCACTAGGTGACATAATTAATGAATAAATATACAGATTTGTATTCCTACATGGTTCTTTGTTCTGAGGGACATCCTCTGTTCAGTGTAGAAATATGCAAATACCTTTCTAGTGGGTGCCTGCCTATCACCTTACCCATGCAGCAGGAAACAGGAGAATTTTCTCAAGACTTGCTACAAAGGATTGAGAAACACCTGCTGCTATTATTTCTAGGCACACACTTGGCAATTGTACTTCTCCCAGCCCCAGTTAAAAGAATTTGAAGGCTGGATACATCTTGCCTCCACAGCTCTGAATTGGGGATGAAAGTGGGATAGCTTGTGTCTACGTGGCTGCTGGATAGCAATGTCTCTTCTTTTCCTTAAGCCACCTCAGCAGTATGGCTGAGGTGAGAAATTGGAAATAGAAAGCAAGTGTTGCACAGAAAAAGGAGAGGTTTGGGTAAAACCATCACCTGAGTGTCTGTGCTTCCCCTCACGAGTCTGATTTACTTTTGTCAGTGATAAAACAAAATCTGTCATTAAGCTACTTTTAGAGACAAAAGAGTCAAACAACAGATATGGTGGAGAGAAATGGTTTTAACAAAAACGTCTGTCCTGTAGGATTCATCCAACTGTGGAATTCATCCAACTCCCAGTAAAGAACTGAAACCTTATGACAAACGTCAGGAAATATGGGATATATATTCCCCCACTGATATCGTCCACATAATTTTACCTCTTTTTTCTTTTAACAGCCATGCTCTCTTCACCTTAAAAAGAAGCTCTTGTAATTAAATGCCTCAGTGGAAAGCCCACATCTGGGTCACAGTTTAAAGGCTGTCGTCTCTGTGCTGTTAAGATGATTCCTTGTCAAGCACAGGAATGAGTAGACACATGTGCAAGCAACTGGGCACATTCAGGCAAGACATACTTGTCAGCCACTGAGTCTTTGCAGTGATTTATCTGGATTTAGGGTTCACTCCTGCTTTCTGTGCAGATTTCAAAGGAAATTGCAAACATACATATTCATCATCCTCTCTTAATGGAGGTACAGAATCAGGAGCTAAATAAGAAAAGGGCTTTATTCAAAATTACAAAACAAATGGAATGGACTGATAAATACATTGGATTTTTTTTTTAATTATGTTCCATGAACTTTGCACTCTGACTGATAAAACTGTGGAGGGTTTATTTTGTTGTCCCTTGGAGGCACATTTTTGATCCTGAACACACTTTCTTCAGAGTAAAATATACCAATATTTAGATCACTTTTATTTTCCATTCATGTAGACACACAATTTGTGCTAATTGGGGTGGGGCTGGCCCAGCCTCATCCGCAGTGGGCACAGCTGTGAGCAGCAGGTGAGCAGCACTGACAGCAATGAGCCATGGAGTGCCCAGGGCACTGACCAACCACCAAAGGGAGCAGAGGGCACACAGGTGCAGGGCATCAGCATGAGGGGATAAAAGGCTGGGACAAAGAACAAGAAGGGCAGATGCTTGCAGCCTTCTGGGGTGATGTGGTGTTACTTTGCATAGGTTGAAGCTTTCTGGTATTGTGTGGTGTTACTCTGTGTATCATGGCTGTCTCAACTGTGATATATGCTGCAACACATTCAAACAGGTAAAAATTTATCTGTGTGACTGGGTTAGCTGTAGGGTGTCCCTGGGGGTATGACAATCATGTTTGAAGTTCTTTTGTTTGAGTAAGGAGTATATGTTTCTTCATGCTGCCGTTGACCAGGTTCAAAGGGCAAAAAGGGAATGGCATTTTATCCTTTACTACTGAGCACTCCTTGAAGTACTACAGTCTTCATTTATGGCAGCCACCATCTGTCTGACCTACTCATGGAGCCTGGTTAACTGTAGGATCTGAACAGCTCGCATTTCAGATTTATTCATCCTCACACCTGATGGAGGATAATTTTCCTGTTCCTACAGTGGAGAAAATGAAATATTTGGGGGGAAATGGTTGTAAATGACCAAGTAACTCGTAATGTTAGAGTGGAAAATATGCCACTGCTGTTCAGACCAAAGGAAACACTTAAGTGCCCAACTGATTTTGGTTTTAATTGAAAACAAGATACTGAATTAGGCTAAGATGAGTTTAGAGCAATATTCACTTTGCATTAATGGATACGACTTGCAGGAATAATTTTTTTCTTAATGAAACTCCACATAACAAATCATGAGAAATATATGTTATTATGAATCCTGGGTTTATGTATTTAAAGCTTGGAGGGAGGAGGCAGGCAAAGGCTAATAGAGTAGGCCAGCTGAGGCCCACCAAAGAAAGGCCAGTGCAGTGACCTGTGTCCTGTGTCTTCTTCCTCTGTGCTGGATGGGGAAAGGATGGCTTTACAGACGGGGAAAGAAATGGAAACTGCAGGCATGTAACTCGCATTTGTAAATGTCAACTGTGCCTCTCCATATATCAAGGGACACAGAGCAGTTCAAACATTCTCTTTAGCTCACTCTTCATGTTTCAGTGTCTTTCTCCTCTGCTGCTGTCACAGCCTCCTGTGCTCTGGATACACAGCAGCTCTGCCTGCCCCCACAGCCTTTGGATGCTCCTGCATGTGTGCAAATGCACAGACCTGCATTTCTCAGGGAGGTGTAACCAGCTGGAATGATTAATGAGGAATATTGCTGCATCTCCTCTTATTCCCTTCTTTGTCCCAGTGTCAGGATTGCCATTGCCATCTTTGGTTTCCCATTGCCTTCCATCCTGAGAGAGCTTTCTGCCTGTACACAGGGAATCTGCTGTACAGCCACTTCAAAGTGCCAAGGAGGTAGTAAGGTGTAGGAAGGCAGCTGAGGAGATGGCCTTCAGATCCTGACCCACCAGATTTGCATCTTTGGTGCCCACAGGGAGCAGAGGAGTTTTGTTTCCAAGGCTTGCTCTCACAGAGGTGCTGTGTGTAGAGGGTTGTATGGGCTGCAAAAGCAGCACTGCTGGGAAGTCTGGTTACCTCAGATGTCTGTCCCTGGTGTTGAGGGAAGTGAGCCCAGACCAGAGCTTCTCACACACTGCAGGACTCACAGCAATGCTTTGCTTTGCATCTAACAATACACAAAACTGTGCTGCAAATTACTAGGGGCTCTGTCAGGATTTCTCTCTATTTTTCTGAATTTCCTATTTTAAGTTACACCCAAATCTACTTGTCAGGTTGTTTGAAAGGTTGCTTGAAACTCCTTCAGAGTTTACAGGGAATCTGACCCTTGTAGCATCCATGTGGATTGCACAATTTTTATGGGAAAAGTTTAAAAACACATATAAATGGTGTGTCAGGGGCTCTGTGACTGCCTGTTCATAGAGTCAGCGGAAGCACTGGCTAAAGGCACACAAGTCCTCTGTGCCACAGATTTTTATTTTTTTTCAAGGGCAGTTCTGCATCTTTTCCCCTCCCCAACTTTAGCGTAAGGAGGACACCCTGCTACTGCTCTTGAATCTGGTATTAGGAGATATCAATGGAGTTTTATTTTTCTCCTATTTTCTCCTGAGTGTTTGGGCAGGAAGCTCAATAGCATCCTTTCTGCTTTAATTTGACAGTTTTCTTCCCCTCTGCACCCACAGAGGGTGAAAGAAGTTTAATTCAATAGTAAAAAGGAGAATTTCTAACAGTGACATTTTTTTCAGAGAAATCTTTGAAACATTGTGCATTTTTATTATTGCAGTCCTATTCCATTTGGCAGTGTATGTAAGTAATCAAAAGTCTAATAAAAAATGTGGTGTAAAGTAGGAAACAACATTGAAAGTCAAACTCTGTACAAAGCTATAGAGAGATGAGTAATTCTCACTTCCCTGGGCTTTGGATCAAGTCTTTATAGCAGAGAATAAAGAACATCTCTCTTCCAATAAATAGTAAAATTGCCACTCAGTGGGAAGGGGCACATAAAGGGTGCTCTTTCAGTATTAGAGCTTTTACCCTACCAAAACACCAGTTATCTCCCAACAATTCCATAAACAATGTGGATTTAAATCTACATGAGAACATGTAATAGATATAACCAGAATCTCATTCCAAAGTCCAAATTTTCTTAATTAAAAACTACTTCTTATCCACAGTGTATTACATACAGCATCCATGTTATCTGATTATGTTTAAAAGAATGCACATGCAATATTACATTCTGGCACTACATAAACCTAGATAAATTCATAATGAAATGAAGCAAACATTATTTATCTTTAAAATCCAGGCACTAAACTTGAATATCCTCCTGGAAATTTTAATTAGTAATTTTAAAATGCTAAAGAAAAGTATCTGCTCCCAGTTGTCTGTTCAGGTTAAATTAAATTATTTCTGGAAGTAATATAATTAGAATCCTTTTAGTTCTTAATCAATATTTTATTTACATTTATTTTCCTTGTACTACTTGATTAGTTCTTTTGAAAATGGTGGGGTAGGTAGCTTATTTTCAGTTTATTATATACTCACATGTATCTACACTTTCAGTAATAGATAAACTTCTTGCAGCACAACAACAGCATAGAAATCATAAAATTATGTTTCTTCAGCTTGGCAACTGGAATTCTACCATGTCTCAACAGGAATTGCATTAATAAGTTTTCAGCTGACCTAAGTTCCTACATGAAAATGTCTTTCCTGGAGACCATGTAGGTTATATATTACACAAAGGGCCTGATTCACGTGGCTTCTTTGAAGCTTATGCAAAAGGAATGGAAAGGAGAAAGTGACACTTATTCTTATTTAGCTACACTTTACACCCTGACAGACCCAAAGCAAAGCCTTGAACCTGGAATGAGCCAAGCCCTGCACCAGCTGGAGTTCCACTGATATTAAGGACTCCACATAAGTTTCCCAAAACAAACACACTTCATTACTCACCATGCAACACAGAATGGCATATTCCTACATATAAAAATCAGTTGGAATAGAAATCCTATCAGCAGTGGTCAAAAGGGGAAAGACTGTCTTTTATTTATGCCAGATTTCTGAAGGCTTTGCTTGGTCTTTTCTCTGTGTCAATCATGACACTGTTTCACTTCAGCCACAGACTGTGCTCTGCAAAATGGTGTGAACTCTATTTCCAGTCACATTTGAATTGAAATAGCATGTGGCTAAGTTAGACTGATGGAGGGAAAAATTTTTTTCAATTTTTCTGGTTAGTCATTACCTCTCTACAGACTTTGTTTCTGCAGAGTTCTTGTGGGCTATTGGTGTCAGCAACACAGATCTCTATCTCTGTGTCCCTTTTAACCCAGCACATGAGATCCCCAGTGTCACAGAGTTCAGCAGGTGGCTGCAGCCACAGAACCAGCTCTCCTCAGCTGATGAGAGGAGCTGTGCCCAGTGTGCTCTTAGAGCAGGAAAAAGGCAGTGTCTTCCCAGCAGTGTGAGCTGAAGGCATCAGCAGCAGGGGAAAGTCATGCAAGGTTCCTCAGGTTTTATGCAAATTGCTTAAGACTTGGCAGGTCTGTTAAGATCTCAGTGCTGGCAGACACATTGTGTGTACATCTGAGGTTTGGTATATTTATGTACATAGAGTGTGTATGCCTAAGCAACGAAAATTGGTTGGTCCAGCGTTTCACCAAAACTGAAACCCAAACAGAAATTTTGTGTTGTTAAACAAATCCTTCACATTTATTTTAAAGTGTTTCATTTAAATTTTTTTCCTCTCCCGAGCCAGAAGTTAAGTACAAAATCCCAGTGCTTGCTAAAGAAAATGTTTTTCCGAGACCTTTGTACCTATTTTGTATAACCTGAGCCTATTTTGCATAACCAAGAGGGTAATTAATCTATTTTAGATAACTATCCAAGCTGAAACTGTTGAGTGTTCATAGTTAAGTAGTTGAGTGATATAAAAATGACTTGATTTTTTCAATATTTATAAAGGTATGCATGTAGTGGTGAAAATTATGACAAGTGCAAGCTCTTGAACACCTCTATTATGTATTTCCTTTACCAATGTATCAGATACAGGTTTCCATATCCTCAAGTGACTTTCTAAACTTCAGAGTACTCTGTACTTCAGAGCTCAAACTTCAGGTTATAGTTTGAAAATTATCTAGAAATAGCATAAGTGTTGAAGTGTCTACAAAGGGAGAAATAGAAAATGATCCAGAACTGTTCTGAGGACATGAAACAGGGGGGCATGGCTGGTACCTCGGGAAGGCCAAGCTGCCATCCAGACAGACCACAGTGAAGAAATGGAACCTCTGGAACCTCACGAAGTGCCAGTTTCTGCAGCAGGGAGGGAACATGCCCAAGCACCAAGATGTGATGGGGAACGCCTGTTTGGAAAGCAGCTTGGCAGAAAAGGCCCCAGAGGTCCTGGTGGACCAGGAGACAGAAACACGACCTTGTAGAAGGAATGCTGCTGTATCTTGGGCTGCATTAGGAGTGTTGCCAGTGAAATGAGGGAGATGATCCATCCCCTCCAGTCAACACCACACCATACCAGACCACATGAGCTCACCAGAACAAGAGGGATGTGGATTTTGGAGAGTTTTTAGTGAGGGACCACAAAGATGATGAAGGGACAGGAGCATCTCTCCTGTGAGAAAATGCTGGGACTAGAGGAGAAAAGGGTTGGGAGAATCTTTTACAATTGTCTGAAGGAGATGATGTCCAGTGACAGGGGGAAGGAATGGACAAAATCACAGGAGGCTCCGTATAGAACCTCTTTTTAACCATGAGAATGAGCAGGGATTACCAGCATAGTCTTCTCATGGAGGCTGTGGAGACTCCATTCCAGGAGATATTCAAAAGTCCTCTGGATATGGTCCTGGTTCACTGGCTCTTGGCCCAGGATGGTTGAACAGGAACAAATCTCCCATTTCCTTGAACCCCCTGTTCTGGCTGCTTTCACTTGTGTACCTCTGACTCCTCCTGAGGTCCTTTCTGGGAGAAACAAAATGGAATGTTCCAAATCTGAACCTTTTTGAGATCAGAATGTCTTTCACGTAAGAAACGAAAAATAGATTATGTCTAAACTTAACTTTACAATTAAAATGCATTAGAATTTGCTGCAGATTAGCCATTTCAGTCACATTTTAAATTAATTATTTATTTTGGTAACTGCTGGGAAGACTTCCATTATTTCTTCACGTGACCAGACAAAGACTGAGAAGACTTGACTAGTTTTATATGAGCTAACAGAAAAATCAGAGAAGTACAAAAACCTCAAAAAGGTTTTATATATTTTTACCACAAGTATAGTTTAATTATATTAGTTGAAACTGTTCCTGATTACAGGATGCTGGTGATCTAAAACCCTGTATTAAACCATTTTTAGGTCTTCATGTGTTACTTAAAAGTTGGCGTTTCTCTGAACAGAAAATTAATTAATTTGATAAATATTCCTCTTATGGGTTCAAATAAGAAAAGTGTGTTAGGACTTTGAGAGAAATTTCATTTGCCAGTCACACTAATGCATTATTCTAAGTTAATGAAAAGGCTTTTTTTTTTGTTTGCTAATGTTTTTAATTTGAGTTCTCACCATTTGCTGATGTTTACATTATTTTTTTTAACAGATATGTTATAATGAGCATCAAGTTAAGATCAATGGTTAGTAAAATTTATGACACTATTACTCAACCAACCCTTAAGCTCTATTTGACTTCATAATATTTCAGATGACATAATATTTCAGATGATTTGATGTATGCAAACAAATATCTAATTCAGCTACTGTTACATATGTACTTAATGAATGTAATGACGTTAATGGAACTAGTCAGAATTTTTTCAATGCAATAGCTTCTGCTCCAACTGAAATTGTGCCAAAACTAGAACATTTTGGCAACAATATTAGCTTTGAAGTTTCACAGGGTTATTTCTAAACTCTAGAATAGGCTTCCTGGAAGATGAGAATAAAAGATGGAAAACCTGAATTTCTTGAGCCAAACATGAACCATTTGGCCAAAGTCCCATTTTTGCCAAAAGTTTTGCCACACTTTCTTTCCAGATTAACACAAAAATATTTTCAAAGAAAAACACATAAAATAAGATCCTCCCACTTAGCCCTAGGTCCTTGTTGGAATTGTCATTATTAGACTGTAGCAGTTTCTCTGGGTTTATAATGTTATCATTGACACCTCCTCAGCTGTGCTGTGGTTAATTGGGAAAACCTAAAAACCATTGTGTTTGCAATGACAGAGAGTGTTTGGTTGAGCAGTGTTTCAAATTGCTGCAAACTTTCTCCACAGACTGGATGGCACTGGATTTTGTTTAGGACAAAGGGGAAGGAAGTTGGGTCCTGTCAGGAGGAGCAGAAATCCCAGGATGAGGGCATGGAAGGAGCCTGCAAGGCTGGGCTGTGGATCATCCTGGCAAGGAGGAGTGGCTGTGACTCCCAGCGGGAGTTAGGTAGCTGCTGTTTTTGAATATTGACTCAGATGCATTCTTTCATCTTAAAATGCCCAAGAACTTTTAATAAATCTCAGTCTGGGAGACTGAAATGGACATACTGCAGAAAGACAGAATTAAGATGTCTTAAGATAAAGGTTGAAAGCCTGAACCCAGTTTGATAAAACAAAGGTAATGATGGTTCAGAGTGGTCAAGCTGATCAAGTCAGAATTGCTGAGGGACATATTTTAAATACAGGTTTAATTAAATGATTTGGATAGAGGACTTTGAAATTTAGGGAAACCAGAGATGGAGATCTTGCAGCAATGAAAGAAGGGAGATATGACAGAGTATGACAGATGTGAGCATAGATGTTTCAGCAGAAAAACAACAGATTAAGCACAGCCTGGAGAAACAACATAGATGTGTAAGAGAAGGAACAGGAAAAGATAATTCCTAGTTCATAACCATGGAAATAAAAATAAGTTGAAAGAACAGGATACAGTAACCTGAATACTTGATTTGCCCAATTAATTTGCTGTTGCTTGTGCACTTAAGGAAGGACTGTGAAGACTAATCATTTTTCCACTCACTTCCAACTCCAGGAAAAAAGATTAAATGTGATTTTTTTTTTAATGAACTTTGCTTTGAATATGGGTATATATAAGTAAAAACCATCCAGGTGCCCCTCTCATTTAATAACCAAATTCAGGACTTTCTTGGAGTAAATTAGTGCTCCATGTTCAGTTCAAATGCCAGCAAACAATGATCTGATTTTCTGAAATGGAAAGTGCAAGACATCTCAGAATAAACATTGTATCCTATGACTTAGCAGGAATCATTCATTTATCACAGTGCTGCCAAAATACAGAGGAATTGCAAATGGTTTAGGTAATTTCAAATTACTTCTGGGGCAAGCACCCAATCTGAGAGCTCTGAAAACTGAGCTGTTTAAAAATAGAGAGCTCCCAAACATAATTTTTTTTCATTTCAGGAAGCTGTAGCAGTAGTATGCCAGTTTGAGATCCAATCTAGCAGCAGCTTTGGTCTAATACAGTGACTATAGTCCAAATGTCTGTAAATGTTTTGTCTGGTAGATCCAAGTGATTGTGCGAGCAGCGCAGGAGGCTGTACCTGTGGTAATTAAGAGGTTGCAGGCAGCTATTTCTCTGTGGAATTGTCAGTATGCCTGAACTGACCTGACAAATGCATTCTACACTTAACCAGCACAGGGGTTCACAGGCATCCCACCAGAAGCCATCCCAAACCCCACCTTGAAGTTAATAGGACATCAAAATTTAGGACAAAGTGTTAAAAGTTTCTTGGTTTGAAGTTTCTGAATTCTCTCAGACCTAGGAAGGTGTAAAGAGAAGTAACACATGTCCATACCACTTGGTTAATTTAACAAATATTCAATTAATATCTGTGTTAAGCAATCAGTTGGAGCATCTTCCAGAGCCTGCTGTGAGAACAGGATGGACACAGGGTGAGCTCAGCCTGCACTGCAGCTCAGGCATGAGGAGCAGGGGTAGAAATGCACACAGATCATGGCTAGGACAAAACACTGCAATCCTCCCATTGTGCCTTCAGCTCTTGTCAGCAGTGTCAGCACCAGCACACAGGGAGATCTAGTACCTGACACAAAGAATATCTGTAAAAGTGCCATAGTATCAACTCCCTTCTTCCCTCACATTCTTCTGCTACTGTGAAATTGTCATGTGATAAGGTTAGAGAAAGAGCAAATTATTATTATTAATCTTTCAGAAATCTGTCTTGTCTTTCTTGATTAATTTTTTTTAAATTTGATCCAAAAAGTAAATTCTCTCTTTAAAAATTATTTCAAATAAATAATCCAGTCTCAGACCACTTAGGTTTTCATTTAAAAGGAAGGCAAAATAAATTAGTTTGGTACTTCATAATATGTATTGATCTACTGGGCAGATTTACAATACAATACAATTTAATTTATGGAGTATCTCATAATACTGACATCAACAAAATTACTTACAGTGAATTTTAAACACATTATCATAGCATATCCATTGACTAACTTAGAAAAATATCTTTGCTTTATATTTTTTTAAGAAAAGCTGAACAAAGAAAGATGTGGTTTATCCTGGAAGAAAGAAATTACAAATGTCAGGATAACGCTGAGACAACATCAGCTCATCAACAAATATCTGGAAGCAGCAGCTCACGGGTATGCTCAGCTGCAGGGAGTTTGTTCAGTGTAAAGTAATGAAGGTATGTATTTGATGTAACTCTTTGCTTATTTCTATGGAAAGCAATTTCTACGGAGAGCAATTATGCTGGATTCTGCACCTGGGATGTTGTAATCTTGGATGTATTTATGAACTGGGGGACAGGAGGCTGGAATGCAGCCCTGAAGAAGGGGATGTGGGAGTTTTGGTCAATGGTGAGCTCAATATGAGCTCAATTTTCAAGAAACAGAAGCAAGAAAATACACACCTAAATCTGATGTAGAAAAACCTAAATTAAAACATATAGAATGAAACAAAGAATGACACCAATCCGTTTTTGATAACATAGTGGTTGAGCAATTTTAAATTTATATGGTCGGCCTTGACAGTAGGAATGGTCATTCCAAATACTTAACATTCTTTGTGATCAAACCCAAAAAAGGGGGAGAATTAACTTACTGAGAGAGCACCAGAAATATGACTGCAAATGGAATAAATGTATTCATGAATTATTAATAATGATATTGATAATTATATAAAGAAATTTCAAATATTTATTAATTTTAATGAAATAATAGTGTTTTATACAGCTTCTTTCATGCCCACTTTGGTACACAAATGTACTGAATTATGGTCTGGAGTATCTCTACTTGCTCTTACCTGCTCTACCTAGGCTCTCCCTGACCTATCATGGTGAGAAACTCAGAAGTTGGTGCACCTTCTGTAATAACCTTTCCAACCCTGCCCCAGCCTGTTCAGCTTTGCATGAAATGAAATCCTGGGTGGGCCAGGGACAGCTCTTACTACATTCAATTACTGCCATCAATAAGAAGGTTTCCCTTTTGGAAAGGTGCACAGCCAGAATAGCAGGAACAACACATAAATCTGCTAATCTCTTTCTCTCCAGCTCCAACCCCTGCATTACATATCCCTGCAATTTCTGTCATAAATATTTATATATGACCAATCAGCTAATGTGAATTTGGTGCAGTAAAACTATTCTGAATATCTTTCTATATTTTCATTATTTCTTTCATTGACCTGTACTGTAGTGATTTTTGTTTGTTTTGGTTTTTTTTCCCCTAAACATTACAACTTATCATTTTTCAGGCTTTAATTCCAAAGTAATTTGATTCTGGGCAGGGGAGAGAGCCCAGATAAATACTGCTCTGCAGGTACTAGCTGGTGTTTCTATTTCAGGAGTCTGCTGATTTCTGGAGATAGAAGTTACTCTTCAGGATGATAATTTTCCCAGACTTCAATGCAGGCTTCTTGTTAGAATTTTACTGGATGTGGACAACACTATTTGTTCAGCATGGTGAGCACTGAAAAATAAATCATGATGAATTTTCACATTTTTTTATTCTTAACTAGCACTGTAATTTTCCTCTTCTACTATAATTATATCCATTAGAAAATACAGCAGTCACAGAGTAAAATAAATATCAGTTTTCAAAAGGCAAGGACACAATATAGGCAGTTTAAGGATTAAACAACACTGAGTAGTCTTTTCTACCCTTTTTTCAGTGGAATAAATGACCACAGAAGATACAGGCAGTTGAGAAAGTAGCACTCTACTCTGCAATTAGAAGTGATGGATAAAATGAGAACAGAACTGCAAAGCTGTCATTTTCAGATATTAAAAAGACAAGCATTTTTCTAAGCTAACTGAAAAAATTATTTCCTCATCTACTTATTCTGCTTAGATGTCAAAAATATAAAAGCTTTATAGCATTTAACATTTTAATGGTTCTGGAAAAATAGCAAAGTTAGGCCCAGTTTTCCTCTAATTGAGTTTTCGTGGTGAGAATTTTTTTCTAGAACCTCAGAACATGATGAGCTGGAAGGGACCCATCAGAGACTCCAACCCCTGGCCCTGTGCAGGTCACCCCAAGAATTCCCATGTGCCTTGGGAGCGTTGTCCAAATGCTTCCTGAACTTGCCTTTGAACTCAGAGTGGACTCAGACCCTTGGTTTGAGAGGAAATTAATATTTGACAAGCAGATAACATAAATATAGAATATTATGCTACAGTTCTGGTGGCATAAATTTGGAGTTAAAAGTAACATTTGTTAGTCATGATAAATTTGCTTATTTTCATTTGTCTTGTGCTTTCGTCCAGAATGCTACAGTTCTGGTGGCATAAAATTGGAGTTAAAAGTAACATTTGTTAGTCATAATAAATTTGGATAAATTTGCTTCTTTTCATTCGTCTTGTGCTTTCTTCCAGTTTATGAGCTTTCTAAACAGTTTGTGACTGTGATCTGTAAGGCACATCCAGACTCCAGGAATGAACCACACAAAGCTCTCCTTAAAAATGGGGCCAGGGTCAACTTTCCATTTCCCTTTAAACCCATGTCAAGCTTATTTTTGCCTAGGTTCAAGGAGAGAAAACTCCCTCAACATTTCCAGAGAGTTGGGACAGTTCTGAGCTTTTTCCTGAAAAAAGGAAGTTTCCCTAGGACACTAGTGCTTTAGATATGGGGTCACTGCTAAACAACAAAGTAGCACAAAATAAAGTTTAAAAATTCACATTTTTGGAGGAGAATTGTCAGCAAGAGCTCACCTGCTGCAGTGCACAAACCAAAAAACTTGTCCATGAAAACACTGCTGAATATGACAGATAAAGAGAGATCCAAAAGGTGGAAGGTCCAGGCTGGGTTCTCAGCTCCTGGAAGCAGCACCATGGCTATATTGGAGTCAGTGCATCAGTGTGGATTTCTCCCTGCCAGGGCCTGGCCATCCACAGGCACTGAAATGTGTCCCAGGGCTTGTTCTGCCAAAGCCATTTTGCAGCTCTCCCAGCACAGGACAAACTGTGCAATGTTCTGCAGAACTGACTAAGTGCAAGGAAGTCCTCAGGCTGCGCCCCAGCACCGAGCTGATCAATGTTCAGGTCCTGAAGAGCAGCAAGTGCAGCACTTGTTTCAATATTGTTTTCCCCAAGAGCAAACCTAATGTTTCTACCTGCCCTTGAATCACTTCTGGTTCACAGCAACCTGTGTCAAGAACACTACCACCATAATACACAACCCCAGGGAGCACTGATATTATGTAAACTGCAGCATAATACTTAACATATTAAATTCAATTTTTCAGTTTAGCTATTCTCTGCCTGTTTTAGTTGGCTTTAAACTAGACAAATTTCCAGTGCCAAATGCAGCAGTTGGAACTGACCACCTACAGCACAAGATTAAGGAAATGAAAAAATGCTGTGTGTTTGTTCTGAAGCTAAAACCTCCTTCTCTTCAGCGAAGGAACTTCATTGATTATAAGCCACACAGCTTTAAATTAAATAAAATCGAAATATAATGAGCTATTGTAGAGTGAAGGATAGTTTATGTAAGGTTTTCAATCTCATAAACTCTAAGGGAGGTCACTCTTCTGCTAACAGAATTTTCCAGGCTTCTCTACAAAGGATAAATTTATCTGTAAACCTGGAAATTTTATTATAAAGCCAGTACAAGTAGGGAAAAGAAGTTGATTACAATTCATTTGAGGCCTTTTTATTTCTACATACCTACCCTGTCTGTAAATAGCATCTTCTTGACAATTTTTGTGGCTCTGTGGAGAAAAGCCCTGGTTTGTGTAAGACAGGAGCCACAGCTCCAGTGCCACACAGGCTCCTGACTCTCTCAGCATCTCTCTGACACTGCAGCATGGAGCTGCACAGGAGCTCCTGGAGGAACACAACTTCCTCCCCCTGCCCAGACACAAAAGGTGTGGAGTAACACCCCTGGAGTTATTCCAGCTCCAGTGAACCTGCTCAATGGCCATGAACACCCACAGGTGAGAGACAAAGCCCTGACTCCAGAGGCAGGAGTGCTGCTGACTGTTTCTGACAAAACAGAGTACATACTCATTTCTGAGTCTTGCTAGCTCAGTAAATTCCTAATATTTAGGAATTCAGCCACATAAAACAATGAAAAATCGAGGTGTAAATTAGTTTAAAACTCTAGTAGAATGATCCTAGCAGTCTTGGAGTCATTACGATGCTTTCTCAAGTACAGGTACAGTTAGTTGGTTGGAGGATGTAATGATCTAGTTTAAAATATGTACCTTAACCTAAGTTCTATTAAACAAAATAATTTCATTACAGTTTGTGTGCTGGAGAATAACAATAATATCATGGGTGCTACTCTGTGATCTCTCTCCCATCCTCTCTGATATAAATCTAATATTTAATATAATATTCAGTATAGATTTCTGTCTGCCCTTTTTGTCCACTGAAGGAGCATGACTGAAGACTCCACATTTCCAACTCCCATGTAAGGAAAATAATTTCTATTTTCCCATTTATTTTAAAGTTTTTTGACCTGCATACTTACATTACTGCATACTTGTGTGAAATACAAGAGGTTTGTTTAAGTTACAAGTCAGCTTGGAGAGGAACAGAACCATAGGAAAAGAAAAACATAGTACATGTTCAGTGCATACCAAGTATGGAATAATCAGATTACTTAAAATATATAAAACTAATCTCAGCCAGCATATTGGAATTTTACCCAAATTCTAATAGGTTTGAGTAAGTACTTTCCAAACCAATAAAAGTGTCAGTTTTCTTCACAGTGCTCCTCCCTTCTGTTTAGTTCATGGTTAAGTCGTTGCATGTCAGGTGGCTGCTGCAAAGGCTGCTCTTTGTTCCACTGCACCAGCTCCACACGTGGTAGGTGTGGGATATCACCAGGAGAAAGGAGACTTCTGTAAAATTAAGGAAAAGAAGAGATACTGTATTAAAAAACCCATAAGGCACCAGCAGATGCCGGTTTACCACGTCCCTTCTCCAGGAAATCAAGTAAAAAAGCTGTGCTATATCTTGGCTGACTCTCATGAATGAAAGCATCAATATTTGTGCCTCATTTCAGAGAGAATGAACAGCAACAGACCTTTCAAGAGGTCTCAGGAGATCCTACTACACTGTGGATCTAGAGTTATGTTAAGACAGAGAGAATTGTGTTAAAATGAAGAAAGACCAAGAGACTGAGAACGGGCATCACTGGAAAGGCCACAGGGGTGAGTTATGTACTAAGTCTCAAGAGTCAGCTCAGAACTACTACACAGACCAATGTGGAAAGATTTTTTAATACCTTTTTCTATAATAATAGAGAAAATTAAATTCTAGTAATTTTATGGTTAACACATTCCCAAAGTGTTATTTTTATTCACAGAGATGCTTCCTCTCAATATATCTTACTAAGGTCCACTTCAGCAGGTTGGTGATTGTGGCTTCTGTCCAACAAAGCACACACAGAGGTGAACCTGTGAGTACTTGAATGGATTTTAGTGAAGTACAGATATGTTTAAGGTATTCATAGACTTAACTGCTTTGCTGGATTACAATTTGGATGAACAACATCTCTCTATCACTCCATCAGCCTGCCCAGCAGTGCAATGGAGCCATCAAAAAGTTAATGTGATTGTTAAGTCATTGGAAACAGGGCATGCACAGGTTGGGGAAATCATCTTGTGGAAGCACTTGTCTGAAATTAGTTCTTGCTTTTCCAAATTAGCCCATTTTTCTGAATAAGAGAGCTGACTATTTTGTCCAAAAATGGTGAAATTAAATAAAATTAACATCCTCAGTTATTAATCAAATAGGTGGCACCTATTTGACTGCAGCTTAAGAGTACATTTTAAAGGAAAAACAAATGCAGAAGTACATGTGTTTTATTAACAACAGAAAATTGTTATTATTCATGTATTTTATTAGTTCTGAATAATATCCTCCTAATTAAAATTAATGCCATCTAGACTCCTTGAATAGCATTTTAGCAAAAAATAAAGAAAACAATCCAAATTTCCTGTAAATACTTAGCTGCACATTAGAAATAATTATCAACTAATTTACTTAAATACCAGGCTTGTGCTACTATAGTCAATGAGGCTTGTGCTATACAGCAAATTAGATTTCAAAACCCAAGCATAAACAGAAGGCAGGGGCCTAGGCTGAGGAATCAGGAAATGGTGTTGAGCTCCACAGGTAAAATTATCCCTAAGGAATGGTTCAGCTTTGAGCCAGTGGGCCCCGATGGGCAGCAAGAGGCAGGTGCTGACAGAACACTGTGGGATGCAGAGCCCTGGAGTTGTCTAACCAGGCTTGAACCTCACCTCAGTGAAAGGAACAAGATGTGAATGCTTGCAGAACTGCCTGGGTGATTTATGAGATTAGATCCCATTTCAACACTCCTTGGGTATTTAAATCTTAAGAAAAACCCTAGGTTAGAAAGGCCAAGATTTTCTGAAAGAAAGCAAAAAATGCATACAGGTCAGGTGGGTTTTCAGTAGTCTAAAAAGCACCTCTCTGTGCCCCTATTATTTTAAGCATAGGCTACTTATTTAATTTTTTTTATTTTTCTTTCTTTTCCCATTGATAATATGGTTCAATGGCTGCTGAAATCAATGGAAAGTCTTTGTATCAGTGATTTGGAATATCATTTGTGAAAGGTTGTCCTGCACCATCTCCATATGCAGACAGACAACTGAACACAGGCACTACACTTGATTTTCTCTCTGTGCCTGAGTCAGGACATTGTCTGGGATCTCATACATGAGACCTTCTCTAATCTGTCTTGCAGTAAGCAATAAATAAATTGTTCATCCCACCCAGTGGGGTTCAGAGCAGTACTGAAAGCTGCTGCTCATATTCATCCTTCTCTCTTTTACACATCACATCCTTGACCCAGTAAAAAGGTTGAAGTGCCAGTGAGGGAATGCCTGGGATCAATTTTCCAGGAGTGTTACTTCTGAAGTGTTACAATTTATCAGAAAAATACAAAGACCTGAGCCAAGTACCTTTAATTCAGTACTGATTCCCACTTGCTGAGCACTTGCTAAAAATAATGTTTCTACTTAATTTTTATGAATGTTATTGCCAATAAAACCACTTGTATATTTGTTCAGTAACATCTTGGGAACTTGAAAGGAGGTGATAGCACAGTGGGAATAGTTATCTGCAGTTCCAGCTCTGCTGAATCACTATATTCTATATGTTCTTGCACTGTCACTTAAATGCATTGTTAAATTGAATTTCAAGTTTTGGCTTGTGATGTCTCTCTTACTGGTTTTGTTGGGGTTGTTTTTTCTTTGTTGTGGGTTCGTTCTTTGGGGGGGAAATGATGTAACTTCCATCCTGCCTGTTTTGAATTTCATTCATTCTGGTCACTTATATTTGTCCACAGTAGAGTATCAAGAAAGATCAGACAGAGGGATGACCTGGCTCATTCAGGTACCCCTTATCCTGAAATTTGCATGCAAACTAAATATTAGGTATTGCTGAAAACTTTGTCTGTTCCTTGCAGTTCTATTTTGCACAGTTTAAACAGTGAAGACAGAAATCTCCTATCCTCTGTCCCCCTTTTATCAGTGCCTGAGCCTGCGCAGAGCTCAGCCTGAGCCCATGAGCAGGAGACACATTTACAGGCAGAGACCAGAATGCTTATCTGGCATAAATCATTGTAGTTTAACCACAGAGGGTAGATTCCAGTTTGGGATATGAGAACTTGTAACAACTCATAGAAACAGTTTCTGCAGGATGCATTTACTACAATTTTCCCTACTCCCTGATTACTAATTTACTTCATTTTTATTGGAGAAGTGAAAGCCAAATTGGCTGATATATTGGCACAGAAATGAGTATGGGAGTAGCATGATACCAGACCAAGAAGTGCCAGAGTTGGCAATTAGATACCATGACTTAATTCTTTAATTATCTGTTCTGGAGAGCAACACTGCTGAAGTCTGAATATCATAAAGCTCTTAGTGAAACTTGTCTGAAGTTGATTCATTTGGTTTCTTGTTGAGCTTGTTCCTCAAGGCTAATCTGCATCTATAATTGTGTTTTATGTGCTTCAAATACAGTTTACCAGCTTTTATTTCTACCATTGCACAGAATGATTCAGTAGTTATTTTACAACTTAGAATAAATGCTCTGTTTATAATATTACAATAAGCCTATATGGTAATTCAATTGTCATTCAAGCAAGAAACTGCAGACTCAGTCTTCAGGCTCAGGGGTTTAGGGGTGATTTCCATACTCTTATTTTCAAATACACAGAAGAGTGGGGAAGGTAGAACTCCCATCCAGCTGCATGATTTCTTTGTCTTTAAAACAGAAGTGGTATTCTGTTCTTGAAGAATTAAGATGTCTGTTAATTTGGGCTTTATGTAGATGATTGTTTAAAAGTGTCAGAGAGACTTCTGCCATGCCAAAATAGTTCTACAATCACTTAGTATAAAATATAAGCCATGACCTCCAAAACTGTTCAAATTGAGAATCTCACTGTGTCTGGGAGTCTGGGAAAGATACATGCTACTAATGTTTTTTTTCTGTGCTCTGAACAAAAATGTGGCTTTTTTCTTTTTTTCTTTTTTTCTTTTTTTTTTTTTTCCAGAGGATAAAAATCCACTTCCTCTGTGCCCTGTCCTGGTAAGGTTGCATCTATTTGTGTAGAACCAAGACACTTTTC